TCTGACCGTCTTTTTATTATTTCTTGTATTATGTCCTTCAGTCATTTAATAATTTTTAAAGTTAAAGCAGATTTTTATTAGGCTTTTATTTGTTTGTCATGCTAAAACTGCTCATTTAGCATTTTTTAAAATTTTTATTTATAATGGAGCCGGCATGGTGGCTCACGCCTGATAATCCTAGCACCTCTGGAGCCGAGGTGACGATCGGTCCGAGGCAGGAGTTTGAAACAAGCCGACGGAGAGCGAGAGCCCTGTCAATCGTATTGTAAATAGAAAGAAATTAATGCGGCAACTTAAGAATTATAGAAAACATTAGCCGGCATGTGTGGCACATGCTGTAGTCCAGCTACTCTGGAGGCTGAGGCAGAAGAGTTGCTTGAGCTGAGGAGTTTGAGTGTTTTACTGTGCAGTGAGGCTGATGCCCGGGCACATCACTCTAGCTGGGCACCAAACGAGACTCTGTCTCAAAAAGACAAAGAACAGTTTTTATTCATAAAATGAGGCCAGCACAGTGGCTACGCCTTAATGCCTAGCACCTCGGGCGAGGCTGGAGACGGGAGATTGCTCAAGGTCAGGATGTTCAAAACCAAGCCTGAGCAAGAGTCAGACCCCTGTCTCTTACTAAAAATAGAAAGAACGTTAATTAGGCAACTTAAATATTATAGAAAAATTAGCCAGGCATGGTGGCGCATGTTTGTAGTCCCAGCTACTCGGGAGGCTGAGGCAGAAAGTTTGCTTGAGCCCAAGAGTTTGAGATTGCTGTGAACTAGGCTGACACCACAGCACTCTAGCCTGGGCAACAGAGTGAGACTCTGTCTCAAAAAAGAAATTTTTTTTTTATTAATAAATGAGGCTTTCCTTGTGTTCCCTTGGTGATGTTTTGGTATCACGATTATGCTATCCCCATAAAATGAGTTGGGCAGCTTTTCATCTTTCTGTTTTTCAAAAGAGTTGATATTTGGGATTTCTAGGAAATTCTAAATGTGTTTTTCAGCTTGCAAGCAGTACTTTGAAAAGTATCCAGGAGACCATGAACTCCTTTGGGAGGTTGAAGGTGTGGGACACTGGTACCAGCGAATACCAGTCACCAGAGCGTTACAGAGAGAACCACTTAAACTTCCAGGTAGGAGTGTTTTCAGTTTGAATGCAAGTCCAGTTTAAAAAGCAGTGGCTAATAATGACTGTGACTTACACTCCAGAGTAATGTTGTATTATAACATAATCTTTCTAGTAACAGACCCTCTTTTCTAAAGTTTGAAATTTTATTATGTATTAACTTTGGAGTCGCTAATAAGGAGACCTCGAATAGCCCACTTGAATGTAACAGCCCAATAGGAATTGGTGGGTAAGAAATAAAGACATTACTAAAACAGCATAGAATAGGCATCAGAGGATCAAAGGTAGCACCTGCCCTCATGCATCTCTCCCCAAAGTCACTAAATCCTTATAACTATTTAACACTCTGTATAGTGGCAAGGTTTCATTAGGATGCTATTCAGAACTTTTATGAAAATCACTACAAACAGTGTTACAGTTAAAACCAAATACTGATTGGGTTACAATTTTTAAAATTCTTCTGTACACAGCAGTTTCTCAAATTGAACCTAAAAGACCTATATCTGGAGAATATGGTCCCGCACCTGTTCCAGAATACGAAGCAGGAGCTGAAGACAATCAGTCTAGTGAGATTCCTCTAACTGTAGGTACACTGTATGTTTATTGTAGGAAATAATAATTTTTATGTTTTCTAAAAATAGATTGAGTTTAAGTTTTAAATGTTATAGTTCATTCAACAAGCTTCTATAATTGCTATTTGTTAGTTTTTCTGGCATCTTCTGTTAATTCATTATTAAAGACTTAATTTTCTTAGAGAAATAATTTTAATAATAATGGTATTAAAAGATAATTTAATGATAATGGTATTTAAAAATAAAGGTAATTTAGAATATGCATAAAATAATATAGAAGAAAATAAAAACCTATAATCTCACTATTCAGATATAGCCACTGATAGCATTTTGGTATATGTATTTAATATTATACATTATAAAGCATGTATCTGTGCACTTGATTTTTGTTTTTATTGTTTTCAGCTGCTTCTAACTGCTTTTCTCAGTTAATGTCAGTAGCATTTTCCATGGCATTACTGTTTTAAAACATGATTGTTAAATAGCACACTATTACCTATTTTATGTAAATACCATCATTTATTTCCTTAATGCAGTATACTTACGTTTTTTACATTTTTAAGTGGTTCAGGGACAACAACATTTATACACGATTCTTTGTGATATGTAATTATTTCTCTGCACATATACATTAATTTCTAGAAGTGGAATTATTAATAGGTCAAAGATTATGAAGCTATCGTGGAAAGTGTGACTGTGTATATGCTAGGTCTTTGGAGAATGCACTGTACTTTGCACATGCCAGGTATTCTGAAAGTAGACAGGCAGGTCCCATTAGAGAACTTCATAGGACTTACCAGGTCCTTTTCTAGAACTGATGTTTTGTGGTACTTGATATTACCCCAAATATGGGCCCATTAATAGGATTCTGGAAATTTATTTTTATTCAAGGTTTTGTTGTGATGGCATTTTTTACAGTTGTATTTTTGTACATATATATCTGAACTTATTCTTAGTGAGAAATATGTCTATGTGAATGCATAGGCATTTCAGAGATAAGTGTTTTGGAGAATTATTTGTTCTTCTTATTTTGTGTTTTAATTAGCATGAGAGTTGACTATATTTTAATAAAAAATTGTAAACATGTTTAAGAATAACATAAATAATATAATTATATTAAAAAAGTTAGATTTTTTGTTTTCATTTTTTCTACATTTGGAATTTCACACTTTAGAATAAGCCCCTGTTCTATTACTACTGTCCAGATTCCTCATATATACACAGATTCATTTAGTATTGGCCAGATATCATAAAATCAAGGAAAGAAAATTTCTTTTTCCCATAATGTAATGAGGATAATGATATACTTTAATATTAAGGCAAGTAATTTTAAGTATGTCATTTGAGTGAGGATATATTATAGTGGCACCAGTTTATAAGGTTGACAGCATAAATTAGATTAGAGTTTAGAATCTAACCTAATTAAATTAAATTAGATTTTAGGGCCTAACCTAATTAAATTAGATTTCAGAAATTCATATTCTTCACATTACTTTAATGTGTTAATAATTCAAGGAAAGTGTTTATTTCTCATATTAAATGATTTACTTTATGTGTCTTTTTGTCAGTAACCATAGGAGGAAGTAGTTTGTTTATTTCAACTACATGATTTATTTTTCAGGTGGTGATGGTATTTTTATCTGCTTTTTCCTAAAACATCTATGTCTCTTATGATACTTTTTGTACCTTTTATTTATTCATCTTTATATCTTATCTGTTTCTAGTTGAACTGTAGGCTTCTTGAAGATAAGATTTTTATCACATCATCTGTCACAGTTGCTCCCTCATTTGTGTTCTATAAATAGAGCTTCTCGAAGTCTGTGTGCCTACAAGGGTTTTAGTGATCCTATAATGGGTGGATGGTGGTTTATATAATAAAGTAGGTGCTGTGGCAAACACTGGACATACAATATAGATATGGTTCTTATACATATGGGAGAACTAGATGGTTGATTGTTAGAAACAGGTATGTAAACAAATATGCTACAGGATGATAATTGCCTTAATTATTATAGCAAGTGATGGTAGGCTCATAACAGAGTATGACTTTTAAAGAGTGGGAGTTCTATGACAAGAGTTGTCAGGGCACTTTAGAGGATAGCATATTAAAAATAAAATGTGGAGATATGAAAGGAAATGGCATGTTTGATATGAAAGAGGAATGTGGTCTTGAAGACGTTGAGAGTTTGTATTCTAGGCAGTGATAGATCATTTTAAAGTTTTGGTTTTTTTTTAAAGTAAGGGTGTGGCAGAATTTGTGACTTGGAAGTATCACTGTCATCAGAGTAGAAGGGATTAGATGGGGTGTAATTAGAGGGATACCAGTGAGGAGGCTACTGGAATAGTTAAAGATAATAAAGGCCTGAACTAAAGAAATGGCAATACAAAGGACAGAGCAGTTTTGAGAGATTCTTCAGTTAAGATTAACAGGCTTTGTGATTGATTAAATGAGGGATAGGAAGAAATCATTACTGCCTCACTGGTTTCTGGCTGGAACGACTGACTGAATTGTTATTGGCACTAACTAAGATAGGGGATAATATTGGGAAAGATAAAGTTTATTTTTGGAAAGGTTGGATGTGAAATTGGGTGGGACACCCAGTGGGAGACATTTCATTAGAAATAGAGCTTTGAAAATCAGAAAGTTAGGGAGCTTAAGGTGTATATTTGGATTCATCAGCAGATACAAGTTGAAGTTAAGTTGGTAGGTTAAAAAGTAAAGGGAGAGGGCCAGGCTCAGTGGCTCATGCCTGTAATCCTAGCACTCTGGGAGGCCGAGGCGGGCGGATTGCTCAAGGTCAGGAATTCAAAACCAGCCTGAGCAAGAGGAAGACCCCATCTCTACTATAAAATAGAAAGAAATTAATTAGCCAACTAATAAATATAGAAAAAATTAGCCGGGCATGATGGCACAGGCCTGTAGTCCCAGCTACTTGGGAGGCTGAGGCAGTAAGATTGCTTGAGCCCAGGAGTTTGAGGTTGCTGTGAGCTAGGCTGACTCGACGACACTCACTCTAGCCTGGGCAACAAAGTGAGGCTCTGTCTCAAAAAAAAAAGTAAAGGGAGAGTATATAGACCGAAAAGAGAAGGTGGCTGAGGACAGAATACTAGGACAGGCCAGTATATCTCACTGTAACCTATTGGATGGCTTGCATATGTTCTTAGCCTTATCATTAACTGCAGCTTTGTTTTTAAGGTAAATTTTCTTAACAAAAAGTATTACTTGAAAAACATTTTAAAAGTTTTTCTCTGAAGCTGTGAATAAAACAAATTGACAGAAAAAATAGTCTAAAACTTCGGGTTTTAATCTCTGTCTCTGTTTTAGATTGATTCTCTAAAAGATGCCTTTGCAAGTACTTCTGAAGGTAAGAAATTCAGCTGATCTATCAGAAAGTGAGACATTTTGAGTTAAGGCTGTGTGTGTGACTTATCCAACTGTAAAATCTAGATCTGGATTCCAGTGCTACCACTGCCACTGATTTTGGCACATGAACATTGAATAAGCTATGGTACCTCTCTTATCCTCATTTCCTTACCTGTAAGATGGAAGAGAATGTAAATGAAAATGCAAAAGCACTTTTGCAAAGCTCAAGGTAACATGGAAATGTGAGAAATGAATATTGACAAAGTTATTTAATAGTATAGAAAAGACATAACTTACTAGCCTGATGTAAGCGAGGGAAGGGCAAACCTGTATGATGGTGGGGGACATAGGTAAACTAGCATACTTCTTGCATTTCTCTGTATTGTATTAGGTAATCCTTTGAAGGCATATAATCAAGTGCAGCTTTGCCATTTTCTCGTCAGGTCATGATAAAACGCCTGTTTCTACTCGTACTCGCAGTAGTCATCTAAAGCGGCCAAAGATTGGAAAACGGTTTCAGGACTCTGAATTTAGTAGTTCTCAAGGTGAAGATGAAAAGACTCCCCAGACTTCACCTGCAGCTTCAATCAACAAGTAAAGAATTGCTTATTTTACTCTTATTATTTTGTTTATTCTTATTTTCATGGTATTTAACATTTAAGGTAGAGGCTATTATTGCATTGTTTGTGTAGCAAATGACCTTGATGTAGAAGTTTGTATTTGAATTCTTCTATAATATTACTGTTTATATGGTTCCTAGTGGTGTTAACTTGATAGTGTTACAGAGAGAAGTTGTTGTAACGAGAGAGTGGTATAAACTCACTATTTAATCTCTCATGTATGAAAATCCATGATAATCTAGTGATTATATTATCCCAAATGAGTCATTATCACCAACTTCTAATTTGATTTTTTAGTAATGCTGAAGGTTAGTCAATTTTTAAAAACCTTCAATTTTACTTTATTAATTGATCCATTTTACTGGGCCATTGGATATAATTTATAAATTAGGGCTAACCACAAATGGTGCAGTCAGTTCCTCTGGGAATTTAGTAGCCAAACTGAATCAATAGAATACTTGGGTCACAACTTTAGCCTTTAAGCCAGGCGTGGTGGTGTGTGCCTATAATCCCAGCTACTCGGGAGGCTGAGGCAGGAGTTGAAGACAAGCCTGGACAACATAGTGAGACTGTCTTTAAAAATAATAAAATAAAATAAAAACCTTTATCCTCTGTCTTTTTTCTTTTTTTTTTTTTTTTTGAGACAGAGTCTCACTCTGTTGCCCAGGCTAGAGTGCCCCATGGTGTCAGCCTAGCTCACAGCAACCTCAAACTCCTAGGCTCAAGCAATCCTTCTGCCTCAGCCTTCTGAGTAGCTGGGACTACAGGCATGCACCATGTGCCACCATGCCCAGCTAATTTTTCTATACATTTTTAGTTGGCCAAATAATTTCTTTCCATTTTTAGTAGAGACGGGGTCTTGCTCTTGCTCAGGCTGGTTTTGAACTCCTGACCTTGAGCAATCCTCCCGCCTCAGCCTCCTAGATCCTCTGTCTTTTTTTGAATGTTAACGTAAGATTCTAAATTATATTTCTGCTAATAGTTTTGCCAATTGTTCCTGAATCAACCGTTTAGTTAATTCATAACTTTGCCGTTTTAGCTGTCAAATTATTTTGCTAAGGTAGGGAATTCTGTAACTATGCTAATTTCATTATGTAAATAATTTTGAATTTGAGTAATTATATATGTAAATGTCTTATTGGTGAAAAATTCATAGTGTTAAAGGCAAATATAAGTTAATATTTAAATCTAGTAATTTGCAAAAAGAATAGGAGTTTACATAACTGGTTTTCTCACTGAGCAATATTTTGATGTAGTACCCTTTTTAGAAGGGAATATATCAATTCGGGAATTAATGTGGAAATTTGTTTACTTTTCATGAATAAAACAGTAAGACTAAATGGTTGAGTATTTCCTCAGACATAGGAAGAACAAACATCATCTTTGCCCTTGAAGAATTGACTCCCTAGTGGTAAAGACAGACATTCACACAGTTAAGAGCGTTGTAAGGTAGAGAATGCTGTGAATGGACGGGAGAGACTGATTGGTTCTAATTGAGGGAACGGAGAGATTTGGCATTCGGGCCAGGGCTTCAAAGATAAGCAACAAACAGTTGGGAGAGAAGACTTTCTACTGTAAGAGAGTCCATTTGGTCTGTAGGCCAAATGTGGCCTGCCACATGTTTTTTTTTTTCTTTTTTTTCTTTTTTTTGGCCACAAAGTATCTGCTGATTTTTTTTTTTTTTTTTTTTTGAGACAGAGTCTTGCTTTGTTGCCCAGGTTAGAGTGAGTGCCATCACGTCAGCCTAGCTCACAGCAACCTCAAACTCCTGGGCTCAAGCAATCCTGCTGCCTCAGCCTCCTAAGTAGCTGGGACTACAGGCATGCGCCACCATGCCCGGCTAATTTTTTCTATATATTTTTAGTTGGCTAATTAATTAAAAACAAAAAAGAAAGGATTCCCAAAATTTTATATTCATCCTTAATAAAACAAATAAGAATCGTTTTTTTTGGTTTTCTAGACTGGAGTCTACTGCACATGCATCAGAGAGCTCAGAAGAATTCTTGGAAGAAGAACGGGAACAGAGAGTGATTGAATTTGAAGATGAAAGCGGTGATAAAGATGCCCAGCCAGCGCCAGAAACCCAGCCACACTTAGAGAAGCAAGATGGTAAAAAGGTGTGACTAAAATGAATGGAAGTAAACTAAATTTTAACTTTCTTAATTGTATTGTTAGGAAAATATGATGTATGTAGAGTCTTAGTAGAAATTGTGTTTAGTGTTAAAAAGCACATATTTATTAAGCAAGATCAAGTACTGGAGTTGGGTAGAGGATAAAGTTACAATTTCAATTATAAATTTCTGTATTTATAAAAGTTTGAGTTATATCAAAGATAAAATAGGGAATGTTTAAGTAGTGAGATCCTTCAGTGCATATAAAATATAATTTGTGGAATTAAACACATTTAGTACATAAATGATGTGACTATAAGTTGTACCTTATAGAACCAATTAGAATGCCTTCAGGTCCAACAAACCTTCCGTTGCACCCATGTTTTGGTTCGAAGGATAGGAATTAGTTATCCAGAAAAAAAATAACTGACCACAATTGATCTTACAAATTCCTGGAAAAATAAACTTTTTTTTTTTTTTTTTAATAAATTACTAGAAAACAGACCAGGTGTGGTGTCTCATACCTATAATCCTAGGATCTTGGGAAGCTAAGGTGGGAGGATTGCTTTGGGCCAGGAATTTAAGACCACTGTGGGCAACATGGTGAGACCCTGTCCCTACAAAAAGTGTGGTGGCATGTACCTGTAGTCCCAGCTGAGGCAGGAGGATTGCTTGAGCCCAGGAGTTTGAGATTGCAGTGAGCTATGTTTGGGCCACTATACTCTAGCCTGGGCAACAGAGTAAAAGCTTTGTCTCAAAATAAATAAATAAATAAATAAATAAATAATAAATAAATAAATAAATAAATAAATAAATAAATAAATAAAATAAAATGAACACTAGAAAACAAATAGGCAAACTCTTTATGACTGAGTAAACTCTTCATCTGGCTTGATTTCTATAGCTTCACAAGTACTTATCTCTATCTTCTATTTTCCTCCTCTTTATCCATTTCCTCTCTTTCTTTCTTTTTTTTCTTTAGTATCTTTACTCTTTTCCTCTCTACAGATGCCTTATTTCTTCTTTCATATGTAGTTAAGTTGCTTGCAAAACCTTTTTCTTGTTTGCCAAGTCTATCCAGCTGGTGAATAAGGGAAACTTTATTACTGGTTTTATTTTTTTAAGTCACTTCTATTTAGCTCCTGTTTCCTCTACTTCATGAAACTATATATATATATATATATTTTTTTTATTTTTTTAATTTTTTTAATTTTTTTTTATTTTTTGAGATAGAGTCTCACTCTCTTGCTCGGGCTAGATAGAGTTCCTTGGCGTCAGCCTAGCTCACAGAAACCTGAAACTCCTAGGCTCAAACGATTCTCTTGCCTCAGCCTCCTGGGTAGCTGGGACTACTGGCAGGTGCCACCACACCTGGCTGATTTTTTTCTATTTTTTAGTTGTTTGGCTAATTTCTTTCTATTTATAGTAGAGATGGGGGTCTCACTCTTGCTCAGGCTGGTCTCAAACTCCTGAGCTCAAGCAATCTTCCCACCTCAGCCTCCCAGGGTGCTAGGATTATACTCATGAGCCACGGCACCTGGCCCGAAACTATATTTTTTTAATGGCATTTTTCTTCTGTAGGAAATTGGGGAAATGAAGAAAAGTACATTTTTTAAAAAATAGGATTTATATGCATATAGATTTTTTTTTTTTTTTTTTTGAGACAGAGTCTCACTTTGTTGTCCAGGCTAGAGTGAGTGCCGTGGCGTCAGCCTAGCTCACAGCAACCTCAAACTCCTGGGCTCGAGTGATCCTTCTGCCTCAGCCTCCCGAGTAGCTGGGACTACAGGCATGTGCCACTATGCCCGGCTAATTTTTTTATATATATATCAGTTGGCCAATTAATTTCTTTCTGTTTATAGTAGAGACGGGGTCTCGCTCTTGCTCAGGCTGGTTTTGAACTCCTGACCTTGAGCAATCCTCCCGCCTCGGCCTCCCAAGAGCTAGGATTACAGGCGTGAGCCACGCGCCGGCCTTGCATATAGATATTTATGGAAATATATATTTTGGCTTTTTCTGTCTTTTAAAAGCTCAAGATTATACTGTATGTACTTCATATAACCTGTTTCATTATCAACCAGACCTACACCAATGACAGCTTCCATTTTAATTGTGCTGGCTTTTTTTTAAACCTGGGTTGACTACTCTCCCTTCCTCAAAGTCCCTTGGCTTTATTATATTGCTGTATTTGGTTTTGGTTTTCCCGACTCTGAAGTTTTATTTATTTATTTTTTACTCTTCTTCCTTCCCTCCTCACCTTATTGTGGACATTCTGAGTAACTCATTTCTTGACTTTCTGATCTTTGGTTTATGCTCTCTCTTTTGAAAATACATCCAGTCTAATGTCTTCTGTTGTCTCTATGGGGATGATGAATAACTCTAGATCTTCAATATTGATCCAGACTCTAGTACCATAATGTCATTTGCCTTCTGAATATTTCTATTTAGACAGACATCTTCTCTCATATTAAATTCAACAAAATCTCAAAATTCTTTCTTAGTATGGCTCAATCAATCATGATCATCCTATCTCCACCTCCAAGTAGCTGAACTACAGGCATATATAAGTTCCCTTATACCTGGCCAATTATTAAAATTTTTTTGTTGAGACAGGATGTCACTGTGTTGCTCAAGCTGGTCTTGAACTCCTGGCACTACTTCCCGTTTCTCACTCTTCATTCTGTTCTCAAACCTAAAAGTTGAAGAACTTTTTCTCTTCCATTGCTTCTTACTTTAGTTACTCACAAAAATGTACAAATTAATTTATAAATTTAATTTATACATTTCTCCCACTCTTCCTGTTAAGAGTTTTATTACAATTACTTTTGTGTGTAATCTATTCTCTATGCCATCTGGTATAAATAAAGCATATTTTTCAATAAAATATACATTTAAAAAGTTTTATTTTAGGAAAGTTTATTGTAGTTATTTATTTTAGAAAATTTATTAGAAAAAAAAAGTCTCTGATTTCAACATCCCTTCTGGAAAATTATCTCCTATATGTTAGGGGTCCTATATAATCTGAACTTTCAAGTGCATTAGTTTTCTAATTTTATTTTTTTTATTTTATTTTTTTGAGACAGAGTCTCACTTTGTTGCCCAGGCTAGAGTGAGTGTCGTGGCGTCAGCCTAGCTCACAGCAACCTCAAACTTCTGGGCTCAAGCAATCCTGCTGCCTCAGCCTCCCGAGTAGCTGGGACTACAGGCATGTGCCACCATGCCCAGCTAATTTTTTCTATATATATTAGTTGGCCAATTAATTTCTTTCTATTTATAGTAGAGACGAGGGGGTCTCGCTCTTGCTCAGGCTGGTTTCAAACTCCTGACCTCGAGCAATCCTCCCGCTTTGGCCTCCCAGAGTGCTAGGATTATAGGCATGAGCTACCACACCTGGCCTCTAATTTTAATAATGGTAATAAAGTTCCCCTTAATTATTAGAATGTTACTAGTATCAATTAGAAATATGTGACATTAAATTGAAGTGAATTGGTAAACATTAAAAGAATAATTTGAGAAATTGGAGGGCTTGTGTTAATCAAACTGCATTTCTATATTTTAATAATATGATGCAAGGAGCCAGGATTATTCAGAAATGACTCTGGGTTGAGTGACAATGAGCTAGCTGAGATTGGGGCTCTTTTCCCCCAGCAGGAAGCAGCAATCAGTTCAGCTTCCCATGAGACACTGTGGCAAGGTAAACTGCAACTTCCTCAGGCCCCAAAGGTTCCAGGTGCAGAACAGCTGGTGTTAAGTAAAGAGCAGGACTCCCTCTGGACCCTTTGTACTGAAAAGGGTCTTCCCATGATTGCCCTAGAAGAAGGAAGAATAAGAAGTGTGCTGGGTCTTTTCATTGAATCTCAGACCCACAAGTTTCTTTTCTTTTCCTGACTCTGCCTCATGAGTTTCCTCTTTTCTCCCAGTTAAGACTCTCCTTAAACTCATACCTTATAACAAATTTATCTTGAGTCCTGATACTTGACAGGTAGGGACTGAGAAGGGACTTATTTTGCATGACAGATAAATTTGTAATCATGTCCTAATCTCTCGCCCCACCTATGATGTAGGACTCTGAATTAGAGCCTATGAATGGTGAGATAATGGATGATACACTTAAGACCTCACTTATAACCGAAGAGGAGGACTCCACTAGTGAAGTTTTAGATGAAGAGTTAAAATTGCAGTCTTTTAATTCCAGTGAAGACTCTACAAATATTGTTCCACTGGTGGTGGAATCTTCAAAACCCCCTGAGCCTGATGCACCAGATAAGGTAAGGGAGAAATAACCTATTTTTTTTTTAAAGTATGCCAATGTTGGTGATGTCACGGGGAGGGGGTGTGGCATATATATCTGCCTCCACCTTAAGATGTGTAATCCTTCAGGAAGATTAACTTTTATGCTAGATTTGATAGTATAAGAAAATGCAATTAGTAATATTTCATAAATTCAAATTGTTATAACTGTACTCATGTCTGACTGATGTTATAGACTTAGGGAAGTGCTTAGAAAAATGGATAAAGCATTATTTATCAAATATTTGAGTACCTATTACTTACATAGTCTATGGCCAATACAGTAATTTTAATTTGCTTTAATTAGGGAGACAGATTAGATGAGTGGAAAAAAAGCTTGGTGGAGGATTTTAAAATAAATTTGTGTTACTTTTGAGACAATATTCCAACAATATTTTCGACAGTATGGCGAAAACAGTATTGTATAGCATTATTTTATTAGTGTCTCACCTGAATAAATGAATAAAACTTCCATTGCAATGAAACCATAGTCAGAATTAGTGGGGTGGCACAATGTCAGGTCCCAAGGGGTACTTGGTTCTGGCTCCAGTAATACCAGGAAACTGCAAACTTTGAGTTGATTCATGGTTTTGAGGAATCTTGGTAAGAAGTTTAAAGAGATAATATAATTACTTTCATTATATGTTTAAGAACTTAGTGTATCAAAATTACCATGTTGAGGCAGTTTTTAAGAAAAAGGGTTGTATTCAGAATATGTACAAGTGACAAAAGTAATGAATACTGAATATTTATATTGTAGTTCAGTGTCATTGCATATTAATATCTAATTTGTTTTAGAACTATATTGCAAAAGCTTATTTGTGACCAGGTTATTTATTTTCAGACCCCACGTGTAACTGACTCAGAAACGTTGATAGAGGAAGGCCCATCTGAGGATAAGGGGCACACCGAAGAGAAGTTGTCCCTGGTTTCAAGAAAGAAAGCACATCTTGGGAGTTCAGACAATGTTGCTACTATCTCAAATGAAGAACGATCTGACACTGGTTTTCCAAACTCTGTGATAGCTGAATTTCCTGAAGAGCCGGTCTCTGAGAATTTATCACCCAACACTACTTCTTCATTGGAAGACCAGGGGGAGGAGGGGATACCTGAGCCCCAGGAAACATCTACTCCTCTTCCTCAGAGTTCTCTGATAGAGGTTGAACTTGAAGATGTGCCATTTTCACAGAATGCAGGACAGAAGAACCAGTCAGAGGAGCAGTCTGAAGCATCTTCTGAGCAACTGGATCAGTTTACCCCATCAGCAGAAAAAGTTGTGGATAGCAGCTCGGAAGAAATAGAAGTGGAAGTGCCTGTGGTAGACAGGCGGAATTTAAGAAGGAAGGCCAAAGGGCATAAAGGACCTGCTAAGAAGAAAGCCAAGCTGACCTGAATGAAGAAATGCAGATTATAAATCCTCTTCTTTGTAACATAATTGTTATTTTTAAAATATGGTAATTAATAAACAGCATGGGACACAGGACAAAAATTTCCAAAATTTCAATTTGAACTTATTTACTATGCATTTTTTCTCTTCCCTTTAGGACGTAGGATTCACCATTCTTTTTAATTTTTAGGCTATTTTTTGTAAATGCAATTTTTTATTTTTATTAATCATGTTTCAATTTTGGGAAACCAGATCATATTATATTTTCTTTAGCGGGTGAGACATCTGACCATTAATATTTCAAAAAGTGTAATTAAAAAACTGTGAAAGTAGTAGGCTTTCCATTACTTGTAAGGATCACAGAAGTCTTTTTTACAAAGGGTTTCAATAGTAAAACTTCGTGAGGGTTCCAGAAGTTTTATCTTAAATATCAAAACTAATCACCATTTTTAAAAATGTAGACATGCCTAAGCAAAAGTGTCAGTAAATTAGAATAAATAAAACTTCAAATAAATGAGAGCACAAAAACAGAAATTTACAGTCAAAGGTTTATGAAGATATTTTGGTTTTGGTCTCTTAATCCTAGTTGTAGATGCAGTTTCTTCCATTGACTTCAATGTCAGTGGAGAAGTACACACAAAATCTGTTAATGACTCATTCTTTCTATCATCTGATATTAACAGTACTATTAGGGTTTTAACTGGCATGTGGGCACTAACATAATTATTTAAAATACCATTTGAATTATTAGTTTGGTATGAATTTTTCTATCTCAGTATATTTACAGATGCTTATAAGCTTAAAAAGTATACTTTCAGCATTTAATGAGGTTAAACATCCCACTAATATAATTTAGCGATGTAGTTTAACTTGGACTATCTGGTCCTGATCAGATAGATAAATTAAGCTGGAGGGTATACATTTATCCCCACCCAGTTAACATCTATACTTGGAAATGTGAGGCTCCTTCCTAAGGCTTCTCCTTAATCCTGCCACTGCCCTAATTCTAGAGTCTTATTTATATTCCCCTCAGCTTTCATTCATTTCTCTCTCAGAGTTGTTCCCCAGTCAGAAGATCATCTTGCCTCCTGGTTTATACACTTGATATTCATTTTTTGGGTAGGCTTGGAGCTGCACCCCACAATCTTAGACCGGCAGGAGCAAAGCTGCCTTAGGAGTTGTAGTTGCAAGAGCTTAAATCAAATTGAAGGCTTCAGTTGTCCCTTTGGTCTTACTCACTCTTGATTTGTTCTGAGTACGGGTTGCAAGCTATTAGTAGTTATGTGTACATTGCGTTGCCATGGCAAAGGTCTTTGCCTAGGAAAATTTTAAATACAAAATCCCTGAACTGTTAATTTTTGTATAATAATTTATTTTAAAATGAACAAAAAGGTTGTTCTTAGAATCCAAAGAGAATCTCAAAACAATCTTCTTCTTTGGAAGTATTCAATGTACTCAAATTTGCACTTAACTGAAGAATGTTTTGAGACTATTTAGGCTGTTTTTAAAATAGCTTGATCTTGATCCTTTATGTGAAAGAAATATGTTGTGACATTGTGTTATTATTTGAGGTGCTAAGGATTGACATTGAAGGTTTATTCAGTCTATAGTCAGGTGATGTCATGTCAATAAATTTTATTTTGGAATGTTCGTATTTTAGGAAGATCTAATGAGTCAACACCTTTAAGCAGGCAAAATAGTAAACCCTACTAATCATGTAAGATTTTGAACACTTGTATCCTTTATATTTTTAAATTATTGGTCAGAGGTAAGCCAGATTATTTCATTGTAATGGAAAATTAGAGCACTTTGACCATTTATTTTTTTCAACAAATACTCATTAACTGAAAGAATAAGTATGGCTAATACTAGTGAATCTATCAAATGTTCATGCTGTTTGATATATTTTATGGGAAACTTTTGTTAATGTTACAACTGGGAAATAACTAAAGATTCTGTTAAGTAAATTCTTAACCTTTCCATTTTTCATTTCTTAGATTTAAAAACAACTTTTATATATTCTACTTTTTTATTTGGATTGCTCATTGTTCTGTTTAAAATATCTTCTTTAAACAGGTGTAGTTTTTTAAAGATTGAGCTGACAACTCTTGATATGTGAATATAGTTGCTGAGTTTACAAAAAAAATGTTATGATTGCTAGGGACTAACAGTACAAACTTATTCTTGTTAAACTTAACAGTAAGTGAATTTTAAGCAATTTCAAAATTTTTTGTCCAGCAGAGAAGAAAACTTCTGTTACAGATTATCTCTGACAGAAAATCTTATTTTGAGGTTTATAGATTATAGACAAAAAAAGGTCATGTGGAAAATCCAACTTCCATGTTCAGTAACTTGAGTACAGAATTTATAACAAAATTTATCTTAAATCTAAATAAGCTTTATGAGATATTTGTAGTTTTTGCAAGGCATTAGAAAAACTTTCAGAATTACAGAGTACTGAAGTATAATTTCAACCAGCTAGTCTAGTTGTTGAGTGTCCAATCACCTTCTGCATAATCCTTTGTGAACTGCTTTTTCGTTCATGGAGAAGGGAGTTCTCTTTTTGTGTACATACATACATATTTCCTTGTGTAATATAAAGCAGATGCAAAATTTTAGTTCTAAATTATTCAATTGTTAGACATCACAGAAATTTGTATATTAACTAATTTATTATAAAGCTCCTTTACAACTTTTAAAGGTAAGAAGTTCTATTATGATTTTTTACAAAATCAAACAGCATGGCTTAGAATGTCAGCCTTCTGCTTTAAATGTGTCTATATTCATGGAGTTTCCATTCAGTGCAGAGATGGTAAGGATAACATCTAGTCATTAATGGTTTACCTTTACCAGACCACCAGAACACTACCTAAAATGGTTTCAGTGACTTTAGAAAAAATATTTTGAAGGTATATGATTGCATCAGATTGAACTTTTACCTAAATATCTGCTCTTAACATTCTGCTTTACCCTTTGGAATTACCTTCTAAGGTTTGGTCACACCAGCAAACTGAAACAGATCTTAATGTAAATAAAGAATTTCTACTAACATTACTCATCTGTGTAACAGTTTTAGAAACAAATTACTGCCTTGTATGTCCACTAGTAGCAATATGGTGTTTCAGGTGTGATCTAGTCTTTCACGGGTGTGATTAGTTACATATGTCACGTTTATGTTTTTATACTTAATATCAAGCTTTCTTTGTATCTTATAAGATAGTAATTTCCTTCATGTTGGGTTCCAAAGAACAAGCAAAACTTCATTTCTGTAGTATCAAGCAATTACCGGAAGTCAATTTTTTTCACCTTCTAGAACTTTTCATTCATGTATTACCTATTTTTATTAGTGACAAAATCATGTGTTGAAATCTAATTGTGAGAAAGGTCCAGCTTGTCATCAAGTGATTCTATCATACTGAATGTCATTTCGAAGAACTAACCTTTCTTTTCCTAAGCATCTGTATGTGTTCTAAAACTTCCACTATATTTATAGAACTTAGAAAATATATTATTCAGAAATGCAAGTCTTACTGGAATATTAATACCTTTGTTTTCTTGGTAGGTTTTTTTTTAAGTTTAAAAAAGTAGTAATTAAATCTATATTTTGTGATTGTTTCCTGATTTGTGTTTTGAAATTCTTTTCCCCAGTTTTGTTTATGAAGATGTGTTTAGATAATGAGTTTGTTTAGATACTGAATGATTTTGTTAAAGGCACAATTAATCACATTGGTTGTACTTTGCAGACAGTAAAAAAAATAAACAGAATTTAAAACGTGGTGATTATAGATTAATGTAATACCATAAACACCATAAAGCTCAAAGCCATAAATGTATAACACATCACAAAAGTGCTTTGACCAAATTAGAACCCTGAAACATGACCTTTTTATATTTGCTAAGTAATTGCAAGTAAATTATCTTCAGGGTGTCAGTGTAGTCTTTTTTCCCTTTTAAAACTATGCTAGAATTGTTTAAACCAATTTTTAACACATTGACTGCCCTGTGAGCTGTATTTAACTCAGGCCAGTTTTAACCCTGGGGCCTCTTGAAGCAAAACCCTGTAGCTGCTTCTTGCAAATCTTACTTGTTAATCTTGTTACAATATTGACAAATTAACTCTAAAAACATGGATTGTGTTGCATATAACTCATGCACAGAAAATGATAAAAAATAACAAATTAGAAAGGATTATTTTAATAAAACAGTGGCCCCAAGGAAAAGTTTTCTCCCTAGTGTGGCAGTCAATGTGTTAATATTTAATACCATTCTGAAAGTATACATATACTACTCTAAATTTAGAATATAGAAAAACACGAAGAAAATAGACATTTTAATATAACTTTTTCATGTTTCAAGTAGAAAATATTATCCCCAGTAGGTATTACTATATATGGTGAATGAAAGGAAAAAAATGTTTAGAATGCTAATTCATCTCAAGAGCAATAGATCAAAAAAAAAAATAAAAAAAAAAATAGAATGCTAATTCATTCACTTACTGTACTGAGAAGTTAAGGATTAATCACTGGTGAAGAGATTTATCTAAGAATTCTCAAGATTTTCTAATGTGTGCCTTCTCTCACATACTTTTAGTGTAAATACTTTATAAACTTAAATATTACCATGTGTTATTGTTACATTTTTTAGGATTAATGATGAACAGTGCAGAAGAGATTTCAGGTAAGGTCTGAGAACTAAGAGTTTCTAAGCCTAGGCCCAATAATTAAGTCATGCATTAATTTTTTTGAAAGGTCTTTTCAATTACACTGGTGGTTTTCCAGTAATAACAGATCTGCATTGCCGAATACTGACTCATTAATGCAGATAACTGATGAGGTAGGATAGCTGTAGATTTGCTTTTTCAATCGTTCAATTTTATGAAGATGGGGTCTACACAGATCCCAAAATAAAGACCACTTTGTAAAAACCGGATCATTTTAATGTTTTATACAATTTGATAAATAGTTCTTTTGATGACTGCAGACATGTAAGGCTATTTGGTGGCATTCAGAAACATCACTTTAATGGTGGTTTTCCCAACTGGTATGTAGTCTTCAATAATTAGTTACTTGTATGAAACTGCTATCAAACCAGTAAGACTGCATTTATACATCCATCATTTTCAGGATTGTTGGTAACCTGGGCATATTTCCCTAAGGAAAAAAAGGGAAGGATGTTAGCTAATAGAAATTAATTTTAAAGAATATAACTTTTGCCTAAAATATTTCTAATTACCACTTTTAAGAAATAAGAAAGGAACCATAAGGGATGAGATTTTACAAAATTATTCAAGTCCAACTTCTTTGAGTTCTAAAGACAATTTTGATATAAATAGTGCTTTTAGAAATAATGGCCAGCTTCATGTACACTGTATTAACAGGGCTTTGTGGATTGACCTGAGCATTGCTACTTTTCCACACAGTTCTTTCTGGAAAATGCATCCAGTATGAAATGAGTTTCAAATCAATTTAACAATCTATTTTATAACTGAGGCCAGCCAACATGAAGTATTAGTCAAATGACTTAAGAAGTTGTAGTATATTCTTTCAAAGAATGTCAAAGTTTAGAGATACCTGAGCACTAAAAGCAAAAAACTAAGCAAATGAAGAAAAATCCAAAATTTGCTGCATGACACATTTCCATTTTAATTACCACAGAACTAGTATGGTTATGTGTTTGATGTATGCTATGCTTCCACTGCTCATGGTTAATGAATTTTCTTCAAATTTTTTTTGCAACTGCTTCCCTTAGAATAAATGATTTTTATTAAAAAGCATTAAAATAAATCTAAAAATGTATTATGTAAAACTTACGTAACTGAAACTAATAAGCTACATTTAAAAAGAATTCATAACTACTTTTTCTATTAAAATATTCTTCCTAAAGGTTTACATCTGATTTAGATCAAGTTTTAACTTATTTAGCTTGTCTGCATTAAAAATTTGCTGCATACTTTTTATCAACTTGAAGGTATTTTTTTTTTTTTATACAGAGTCTCACTTTGTTGCCCAGGCTAGAGTGAGAGCCCTGGCATCAGTCTAGCTCACAGCAACCTCAAACTCCTGGGCTCAAGCAATCCTATTGCCTCAGCCTCCCAAGTAGCTGGGACTACAGGCATGCGCCACCATGCCCAGCTAATTTTTTGTATGTATATATATTTTTTAGTTGGTCAATTAATTTCTTTCTATTTTTAGTAGAGACGGGGTCTCGCTCAGGCTGGTTTCGAACTCCTGACCTTGAGCAATCCGCCCGCCTCAGCCTCCCAGAGTACTAGGATCACAGGTGTGAGCCACCACGCCCGGCCGACTTGAAGATATTAATGTCACGACTATAGAACACCAACAGCCCATATTCAAAAATTTACTTACCCCAGATAACCTTGCCTCCTTGTGTCACAAGGCCCAACTCGCTCACGTTGACCTCAATGACAGTTCCTTTAGTAATAACACCCAAAGTTGTATATAATGGGGATGAGGGATTCTTCTTTACACCAAGTATTGGTAGGCAAAAGGTAGCTTTCAGTTCAGGATGTGTTACATGGGCCTTCTTGAAACGTAAGCCCTAGTAAGTCAAACACAGCACAGAATGTTGAGTGCAAAATGTTAACGATAAGGAGTAGTCCTTTTTGCTTATTTTTTCCAGCCATCCCCAAAAAACCATGGGTTGAATGATGTCCACTCTTAAAGGATCAAATAAAATACTAGCAATTCTGCAGGCAAAAAGTCTGATAGTTAATAGGATAAATATGGGGAAAACGCCCACATTTGTACCTCTGAAAAGTTTTTACCATGTAACAGCCATCTAGGAACACTCAGGATTTTACCTTGTCTGGTTATCTACATTTACTAAGGACTTGCTACATGCCAGGCAATACGCTAGAGCTCACAAGTGGCTCATGTAAACATAACCCTTCCTCACATTTTTTCAAATAAGGATTGGCAGGTTAGGTGACTTGTTTACAGGTTAAATGGTAAACATTCTGATTCGAAGTCTTTATAAAATATACTTCAGCTACCTTCCATGATGAGAAAAGGGGTGGATTGTCACCTTTATTTGTGTTGATGGTAATAAGGATCAAAGACTGGAGAAAGCCCAGCGAGGTCTTCCTTACAGAGACCAGTTATGGAGCCACCCAGTCACATAGACAGTGTCTCTTGGGGTGTAGCACTCCCACACAACACTTTGCAGTCTTTTTAAATTTTTGCCTCTATGTGGGGTAGGGAGAAACAACACAAAATCAGACTCTTAGTAACATTCATTAATCAAGTTTGTAAGAAATTTACACCATACAAAATGCCATCCAGTTAATTCACAATGGCAAATCTGTCAAGCTACAGAAAACCTAGCACAGCCTGACTCAAATATTCTTTCCCTATAGAACTGATAAAGTTATCAAAATGTACTTGTAAGATTATGAAATAAAGGGGAGTCTATAATATAATCCAGGGGTGGGCAAGTGATTTTCTGTAGAGGACCAGATAAATATTTTAGGCTTTTTATAGGCTATATGGTCTCTTTTGTAACTACTCAACTCTGCAGGAAGGGAAAACCAGCCATATGCAAAATATAAATGAACAGGGATGGCCATGGTCCAATAAAACTTTGTTACAGAAACAGGTTGTTTGCCAATATTTTAATCGAGTAATAATTCTCAGGGCGAGCACTAGGATTAGCACTGAAACTTACTTTCTCTGATTGTTTTCCTAAGCAGGCTGACTATCTAGTTGGGAGAATTAATTCAGACTCTTTGAAGGGATTTTACAAAGATGTATCTTCAATTATATTTTTCCCTGCGGGTAGAGACGGAATTCAGTTTGGGGTCATATTACCACTAATGGTATCAACATAAATTAAGCTACTTTTGTATTAAATTCCCGTTCTTTTTCCAATGATATCATATTGAATGTTTTCAAAAGCATTAGGATACTTTCCTTACAAAACTGGAATCGAGTCTTTTTTTTTTTTGAGACAGAGTCTCGCTTTGTTGCCCAGACTAGAGTGAGTGCCATAGTGTCAGCCTAGCTCACAGCAACCTCAAACTCCTGGGCTCAAGCAATCCTGCTGCCTCAGCCTCCCAAGTAGCTGGGACTACAGGCATGCACCACCATGCCCGGCTAATTTTTTCTATATATATTAGTTGGCCAATTAATTTCTTTCTATTTTGTAGTAGAGATGGGGTCTCGCTCATGCTCAGGCTGGTTGTGAACTCCTGACCCCAAGCAATCCATCCACCTCGGCCTCCCAGAGAGCTAGGATTACAGGCGTGAGCCACCATGCCCGGCCGGAATTGATTCACTGTGCCTGGTGAAGCATGTCGGCAGTCCAAGCTACTCAGGAGGCTGATCACTTGAGCCCAGGAATTTGAGGTTTGAGTTTGAGCTTGAGCTGTTATTGCACCATTGCACTCTTGCCTGGACAACAGAGCAAGATCTCATCTCTCAAAAAATAATAAATTCAGGAAATTGTAATGTACTTTATCCAGTTTAACAAGGAGAACTAATATTTGAGTCACTGCACTCTTTCAAGGACTTACCATTGGCCTAATGAATCTTTCATATTTAGGTGGTTTTCTTGTAAAGCCATCTCCAACAAAGCAGACTTTAGTAACCATCCTCTTCCATGCCTTTTTCTTTCTCTTTCCTGTTCGAATAACTTTTAATACTTCTGTTTCTCCTTGGGCACGAACTTTGGGCAGAGGGACTTCCCATTTTCCCTAAAAATGTACCACAGTTAAAATTTATATTGTTAGTAAAGGATAATGAAAGTAAGTCAAATATGT